GGCGGCGGCGGCGGCGGCGGCGGCGGTGGCGGCGGCGCCCGGAGCGGATAACAACTGACGTACTTCCGCCCGGCAGCCAGCGCCAGAGGAAGTGGGCGCTGCGCGGAGCCCGGCGCCAGCCCCGCCCAGGCCCCGCCCAGACCGCGCCCTGGCCCTGCCCCTCCAGCGCGCCGCCGGCCGGACCCCGCCCAGGCTCCGCCCCAAGCGCCCGTCGCCCCGCCCATGCCAGCCCCGCCCCGCCGACGAGACCCCGCCCTCCAGGCTCCGCCCCCACCCCTGCAGGCTCCGCCCCTCGGGGAGGGAGCTGGAGGGCCGCGCCTCTTCCCGCCCCTCTGCCCGCACCTGGGCCAGGGCCCCTTCACGTGGGAAGTGCAGGGTCCAGGGGTCTCGGCCCTTCTCCAGCCTCGGTCTCACTCCGGAAAAGGGGAGGGGGGGGCCTCTCCAGCCAAACCCGACACGGCGGCCGAGGGGCAAGCTCACCGTCACACCGAGCTGGGGGCTGGGGTGGGGGTGGGGGGTCTCAACTGGGGGAGTTCTCCCAGGCGCTAGAAGTCCTGCCCACGGGGGATGTGTGTAGAAGGGGGACGGACTGCCCTTTCCCAGAGAGCGTGTGAAGGCCGGGTGAAAGTTTCCTGGCCTCCCACTAGCCCGCACCCCAACCTGAGCTGTCTCCATGTGGCCCCCTGCCCTTTTCCTGCAGGGGGTCTCCTGCAGGCTCTCAGCTCCTGGAGCTCTCCACTGCCCCTGCCCAGGTGGAGTCCTGACCTCCCTGCTGCACTTCCGGGCGCAGCGCACCCCCCTCCCTCTCGCATGTCAGGTTGCTCAGATTTTAGAGTAGGGCAGCCCTCCCAAGACCAGAGACCCCAGAATGCACCCTCACTGAGACCCCAGGGCTGCCTGGTTTGCACTGAGACAGCAGTTTGGGGTGCTACCGAAGAGCAGGAACAGATGAGAAGGGGCAGCTGGAGAGTTGAAAGCTAGATATAATGGTGAACTTCCTCTTCCATCAACAGGGGACTGCCTGGGGAAAGGCGGGACATGCAGGTGGGGAGAGGCTTTTTTCTGCAATCCCAAGATCGTTAATTCACTCAAGACATACTTACCAAATGCACTAGGTCCAGGCACTGTCTGTGAGGCTGTAGTGGACGAGACAGACGGCCCTTTTGGAAGTGGGAGAGAACATGACCACAGAGCCAAATAACAATATCTGATGATAACACGAAGCTAACTGAATAGGGAGGTGCTATAGAAAGTGAGTAGTGGGTAGTCCCAGAATGCCTCTGAGTGCAGATCTGAGCTGAGACCCGCAAGATGAGAAGGACCTGGCGGAACCATGTTTCCCTGCAGAGAGCACAAGCCCATACAAAGGCACTGAGGTAACTTTTGCTGCACTGTGGGGAGACTGAAGGGAACACAGTACATGAGCTCTGGAAGGTGCCCCCTTGCTCAGTGAGGAAGTGCTGCCCTGGGCAATGCTGGAGGGGTGGTCCACTGCCCCCCATATAGGGACTTGGGCTTTCAGTCTGTATCACCCTGCCCCTTGGAGGGCTGAGGGCCCCAGTGTGTGTGTGTGGGGGGGGGCAGGGAGGTGGATGGTCTAGGTGCCCCGTTGGCCGGGCTGTCCCTGGTGGTCGTTGGAAAGGCAGCTCTACGAGCTTCCAGACACAGGGTTGGGGTCTCAGGCCCCAGAACTGCCAGCCTCCAGGCCACCCGAGCCCCTCCCCTCGGCAAGGTTTTCTCTGCTCTGGGCCCTCCCCAGCCTCTCCTAGCCTTCCCAGGGTGGGGGCAGGGTCCTCCTCACCTCTTCCCACTCCAGGTTTTGTTATGACAACTCTGACTCCTCCAGCATCATCCCCTGTGAGTTGTAAGAACCTCATTAGGAAGACAGAAATGGACCCAGACTGGTCCCTCTGTATACCCGCTACCCTAAATCCCCCCGGAGGACAGAAGGCCAGAAAATGTGGGCATTGGAGGGTGTCCCAGGATAATTTTGCAGGATTTCATCTGGATACAGGCCCTTTGGTCCAAGGCTTGTTCCGAGGGCAGCTTCCAGGCCCCACATCTGCTCTGTAGGGTGCAGAGACCCACCCTACACCCAGCCTGGGACTTCCAATGGGCCCTTTCCTGTCGCCCCTTCCCCCCCTCCTAGAACAATGCCGCACTGGGCAGGGCAGTCATAGAGCCAGCGTCTTCAGCTTCCTCCCACGAGACTAGGGGAATGATCAGGCTTCCCTGCCCTGGGGGTCCCTGCTCCAAAACAGGGCTGGAGGTGATGACTCTGCTCCCGCAGTGGGTGGTCTGAAGGTTCAGCGAGTTCTCCAGCTCTGAAACTGTCAGTCACGTGGGACTGGGAGGTTCGTTGGCGTGCATCTCTGGGCCTGCCCCAGAGCTTCCGATTCATCCGGTCCCACGTGGGGCTTGAAAATTTGCATGTCCGACAAACAGGCTGCAGGTCTGGGGACCACACTTTGGGGACCACAGGGTTCAGAGCCACAACAGCACCTGGCACATAGTAGGGCTTGCAGACGCGTGCCCCCCTCTGCAGCCACCAGTGTCCCTGAGAATGGGATCCTGCCCCTCCCCCAGGCGATCCCCACCCTCAGGGCTTGGCTCTTGATGACCGTGATGGCCTCCCTCTTCCTGTTGCCCTAGTTCTGGGCACCTCACTAGTTCCCTCCCAGGCCCCTGGGGCTTGGCTCTTTGGCCTGCGGCCGGCCCAGGTCTCCCCTGCCACTTCATCCCGTCACCGAGGACCATCCTTCCGGGCGCAGTAAGGGGAGAGGGGGCCCTGCCCACAGACGCGAACTCCGCCAGAGAGAAGACTCTCTCCACTCCAGCCTGCCATGGAAGCGCCGGCCCGTGGCTGTGGCCCGAAGCCCAGCCCTCACCTGGTCACTGCGGACGGCACGGCGCCCTCCCCAGCACAGCTCGGAGAGGCTTTGCTGGTAATTAGTCGCTTCCAGGATGGCCTGTCAGCCCCATCAATCTTCACCGTTTGGTTTTGCTTTAGAGAGTAGCAGCTCTTCTGTAAGGCTCTGAGCAAAGTTAATTGACATGAAATTCTATTCAAAATTCAATTTGCTCTCACAGATCCGATTCAGGCCCTCTAAATCAGCAGGGCCAGTGGCTCCTTTGTGGTTCAAACATGCTTTTTGCTTGCAGGGTGGCAGCCAGAAGATGCTGAGTCCTGGCCAGCAGGCTGGCCCCAGGTGCCGCATCTATGAACCGGAGGCCAGCTCCTCTGTGCGTCCCGGTATCCACTGCACCTCCTTCAGGTAAGAGCACTTCAGTGCATTTCAGATACTTAGACCACTTCCATGGACACCATCTTGGTCGGCTCACTGAGAAATCCCACCATCCCCCAGCCAAGGAATGGCAGGTGTGTTCGCTCCCGCCATGATAATGCTGTGTAACGAACAGCCCACATAATTTCTGTGACTTACAACACCAGTTCTTTTTTCTTGCTCCTAGGGCTGTAGGTTGACCTGAGGGACTCTGCTCCAGACTGTGGGTCAGGTTCAGGTATCTCTCTGGGACCCAGGCTGCAAGAGGTGAGCTACCTGGCGTGTTCTCTGTACAAAACTCGGAGGGCCAAGCTCAACCACACAGGCACGCTGAAAGTCTATGCTGTAGGCCTTGCATCTTGTCTGTTCACATCTGGTGCAAGGCAAGGCAGGTGGCCAAGACCATCCTACGTGGGGTAGGAAGCTGATGCCCGCCCCTGGGGTGGGTGGGGGGCTGGCACTGCAGAACCCCATGGCAGGGGATGCGTGTGGGTCTGCAACAGAGAGGAAGTGAACATTTGGGGACTAGATTTCCATTTGTCACAGCCTGTTCCTGGAATTACAATCTGTCTTCAGAACGGTATCCAAGAGATTGATAGATATTCCGGGTGCACCTGTCGCAAATGTGCCCCTTCCCGTGATTCCTGCTCCTCAGGATCTGTTCTGTGGTCAGTTTCTGAGCCTGCTTCTGCCCTGGGGGCTACCCACATTCTGCCCCTGTCGGTCCACACCCTCCCTCTTCCTCAGCCCTGACTCTGATATCATTTCTTCCCAGAGGCCGGCTGGTGGCTTCATGCTGAGCAGGGTGCCCACATGAGAGGCTGGTGCATGCTCGGGTAGGCAGAAGTAAAAGCAGGACCAGTTTTCTCTGGAGAGCCTGCAAGGCACCAGGTCGGCCTCAGTTGCATACAGAGTTAGGATCAACAGTCCCCTGCCCCCACGCCGCGTGGACACCACCAGGCCTGCAGCCCGAGGGCTCCTGCCCCTCTCCTTCCACCTCTTAGTCCTGATGAAGCATGATAGCAGTGTCATGTGGGTGGAGGTGGCGAGTGGTCTGCTCGGTAGCTCGGGTTTGTCTAGACTATCTTCACAGCTGCCGCTACCCTCCCCAGAGGCGTGCCCACACCCCACGTGCTGTCCCCACCACCCCGTCCCTCTGTGGTGGAAGGCCCGGCTCCGGCGCCCAACCCCACAGATGGTGCC